CGGAGTGTCTATTTACACTAAGTGCAAATAGCCCACCTTGTTGGCAGAGGCTATTTACACTAACTCCGCCCACCAGCGTGTGATTGGGATAGTCAACACTTAATAAAGACGCATGTCAAACATCAGTTTCAGTGGCGTAGATGGTAAGGCGTGTGCTTTTTGACGCGATCGACCTGAGTTCGAACTCACCTTTTGCCGAACTTTTTTTCTCCCCTTTCAAATCTCATAACACATCGGAAAGGCATTTATTTTCAATAAAAATGAAGGAAATAATCAAAAAGTTAAAAATAAAGTATCGGTAGGGTTAGGGTTAGGGTAGGTGTAGGGAGGGCTTTATTGTCCCAATAAGGTGGCATCAATTTAATAATTTAATAATTTGAATTAAAATGATAATTTACACAATACATTATTATTGCGTACTGTTTTATAATGTACTACAATACAGAGGTGCAGATAATTGCTACTATTTGCAATAAGTAGGGGGGGGGGAACACATATGGATGTTATGGGGTAATTCATGGGGTAGTAGGTGGGGATGCCATGAAAAGAAATGGTGTAAGGCAAACCCTTAATCATTGTAAAGGTGACATTTAGTTGACGTGCATAAGTACATGCAGGCTTAACAAGGACACTGTAAAATATATATTTTATTTTAGTTGGAAGTAGATGCCATCTTAAGGATTTTAAGGAAACAATGTCATTTTGTGGAAAAACAAATTATTCAAAACTCTGGTTTTATATCAAAACTGGAAGGAGTCTTTAACACATATTTTAGAAGTTGTAATTCTGTATGAGAAGTGTAAATATATATATATTGTGGTGTCGACTCAGTTCTAGTAGACTCGGGCCAGTACCGGCTAGTGTTTCAATTCTTGTCGGCGTGATTGTGGCCCAGTGCCGGCAGTTTTGGCAGCCAGACTCGGGCCAGTGTATTTGGGGCGATTCTGGGGCGTCATTCATCCCATGTCCATGCCGAGTCTGGCAACCGCAGCCGGGCCGAGTTATTTGTTTTTCCGGCCTGCTGGATCCGGGCCATTTTTGGGCCAAACCATTTTGGCTACCTGGGTTCCATTGCTAGAACCATGCTCTTTTATTTGAGCTACAGGAAGGTTAACAAGTGTTTCACATATTTTAGTGACTGGAAAAAATACTGAAAAAAAAGAATGCTTTCTATACATTTTCATCTGAACACTCACAATCACACATCAGACAGGGATGAAATTTGTGAAGACTGGTGCAAATGTGATAGTCATATATTACATATTAAAATTATTTACTGTAGGAGGTGTGTATGAATGCAATTAAAATACAGACTAAATAAAACAAATGAAATCATCTTACACCATGTGACACCAACATCCTGACATGGACAAAAGCACATTATTTTTCCTTTCAGGATTTAGAGTCATAGAGATTACTTATGGACTTATGGCTGGTGGAAGGACTGAATGGTGAATGAAGATATTAAATTTCACTGAGATACTCTGCCATCTGTCATATCGCTGAGCTGGGCTGTGTTATGAACCCAAGAAACATCACAGGAGACCAAAACAATAGACACACATAAAGCCACAGTAAACCATCATAAACATAGGCAAACCAAACAAATCAAATGAGGCCAAGAGAACAAAGACATCTCAACAAAGAATGATAACCAATTGAGGAACCATAACAAGACATACTAATGCAGTTATTGTAAAAACAAACAAAAAAGCCTAAACAAACTGTGTTAGAAAAAAACAAATCACATAGCCTAACCGCCAGACCAGACAAGGTCCAAGCGAGACTATTAAACAGTTAGTCAGGCCACACAAGTTACAACAGACCAGCAAAAAAACACACCACACAAGACAGACCACACAAATCAAATCTGATCAAATCAAACAAAATCAGATCAGCTCACATTACCAAGCCCAGAAAAGACTGATCCCAGACAGAAATGAACTAAACTGAGTTTTGTGATTCAGTGAATCAATTAAACTGAGCAAATGTATCAAACATAAGCTTATTAATTAAATAAGCTTATTACGTGAGCTTATTATACACAAAAAGCAATTTGGAGAATTATAAATGCCTTGTATGTATAATTAGAATGATGTAGACAGGATACAAATGTGCCTTTGTTCAGCATTTTACTACGTAGCCTGTTATTTGATGCCATGTTCCACTATGTACAAACTAGAAGCACTGTGTGACCAATAGAGGGCACTAATACTCTGCAATTGTGCGTGTTCTCCCACGTGCATCTAGGTAACGGTGCGTTCACGGTGTGTATACGATGCGCTTACCCTGGCGCAGAGTGGGCGTTCTCAATTCATTCCTTCGGGAACAGAAAGCATTGAGAGCGTGAGAAAAACTCCATTTTTTGCGAATGAAGAGCGGAAAACGTCAGGCGGGGGACATCTGTGCTTAAACCTCTAGTTCCAGGTCGAAGTAAATTAATGGCTGAAAATCTTATATGGACTAAAACTAATTAACGCACCATTTTATATAGCGCGCGCGCACACACACACACACACACACACACACACACATATATATATACATATATTTATGAACCCATTCTAAGACTTACCCATTCTAAGACTTTGATGAAGCCCAATGGGACTTTCAGCACCCTGAAATGCCCACCGGCAACCAACTGTCAAAAGAACAAAATTTGAAAAACGTTAGATAGATAGATAGATAGATAGATAGATGTTGTGGATGATCTGTCTTCACCCCGATGACTCCTAACACAAACAGGCCTCTTCGCTATTTATTTTGAAGTGCTTGTGAAACCTACGCATAGCATCTGCTGCTACTGTAAAGCATCGTCGAAAAAGCAGCAACAGGGTGAAAAAAAAAACATTATTTCAAGTCATCAATTCATTATATCTCTGAAGCTCGAAGCAAAGGAAGGGAAGGTGAGTCGCGAGGACCTTGAACCATGGCCAGATTGCCTGCGCGCGCAGTTGCCTGCTGTCCTCTGAACAGCAGAGATTTGAGATTTCTCAAACCATTTTCAACGCCAAAATCTAACAAAAAAATTATGGCGCTCTTCTCTAGCAACCTGGAAAATTGCACGCCCCTTAATTAAGGGCAAACATATTAAATGTTGCGCTTAAATGTGACCGTTTTTTTTCATGAGGGCATTATTATGATATTGGGAAATATTTGCTCATCAGACCTGAAGTATGTGATACCGATTTTATTCGGACATGAGTGACGTAGGAAGGTGCGGTTTAACACGACACCATTGTTTGCCCGTGAGGATGGTCCTTCTTTAAACACCATGCAAATAAATAAATCGATCAATACAACGATTTAGATCTCCTCTTTACGCAATTTAATAATTAATTGCAATATATAATATTGGCCTACACATGAATGCAGTTTGCATCACCTTGCAAAAATGTGTATCAGACGATGTTCTGTAAATATAAGCATCAATAACCAATATATGATTGTGTGTCATATTCAGTAGACACAGATTTCTTGATCCCTGCCTATATAATATAAAAAAAAGAATTTAATAATAATAATAATAATAATACAGAAGGGTCTGGGCTCGGAGCTGAAAGTCACACAGTAACAGTGTTGGGATGGAAGTCAGCTGCCATTTTAAACGCATATCTACGAGCGCATCTGTGATAAAGGGCCTCGTGCATTCGCTTTGGATTGATGTTACGCTTTTGCACTAAACAAAATGTAAAATTGCAAAATATAATTTGATATCATACAAATAAATGTGCATTTAGTAAATGTATAATTGCATGTATCACAACCCTCTACGAATACGTCTATACGTCTAACAAATCTAGCCCTTCGTCAGATCTGTTTTAAATACTATACTATACTATAAAAACGAAAATATAGGAAGTCACGAAAGAAAGCCCCTTGATATACTGTATCGGTGAACTGACGGACAGCATCAGCAGGGCACCTCTCTCTATAAGAATTTTCCACCACCATTTTTAAGCGCATCTTTATCGTATACTACGAATGCCTGACTGAAAGACAAACGAAAAACATGTACATTATTAAACACGGCAAAAATATACTAAAATAATTTTGAACCCAAAATGCCATACCTGATTTGCAATATCCATGTTAGTCGCCTGCTCGTAGATAGGAGAAACAGCTATAACTGGGGGGAGGCGAGGCGAGTGATGGAAGCGGAACAGCCCACGGAGGGGGAGGGAAAATAGACAGAACAGCTTCAGTTGCGTCACGCGCTTCGAGAAGGCGGTTTTTTGTTGCGCCAAGAGCGGATGAATCGACCGACGCTGATCGCAATAGAGCAATGAGATCATTAACCTGTCATAATTTACGTGCTTCTTCTAGCTCTATCTTCAGTGGTGCTCTCAAATATGATATTTCCCCTTCTAATTGTGAGTTGTTGTTTCGATGGCAGGCAGCTCGCGCTGCAGAGGCCCTAAATTATGAATGTGATTGATCACTCAACACCAAATCCACTAACGTTAAGTGCTGAGATTGAATTAGATCGTTTCATTTTGCAGTGGTTCGGTGGAACGCTAAGATGCCATTTGGGAAATAATAATTCATGAGAGTCTTACAACAACAAAAACATCACAGTAATGAATAACTCTGTCTAACGTTACATGAGATGATGTAGGACTGTTTCTGGAGCGACAGTTGTTAACTCAGGATTTCACTGGGCTAAAGAAGATGGCAAGCTGTACGCCTATATAGAACTTTATATCTTCTTTAACTATATCTTGTTAAAATTTCATAATGAACCCATATAATAAGATCTTTCACAGACTAAGGAAGGTGTGAATAGAATGATCTCCTTGTGGGAAGTAACCATACAGAGTTGGACTGACAAAGATGACTCATACACTATTTTTAGAGATGGAAAAAAAATAAACACTCCTGTTTAATAAAGAAATGCTAATACATTCAAATATTTCTGACATCTCAGCTAAAAAGTATTGAAATGGTTGATCCTCAAGAGCATGTAATATACTATGGATACAGTTGTGAGAATTAAATAGATTTTTTAATACCCATAATATATTTGATATATCAAATTTTATATTATGTTTTATATTGAATAATACTATTGTTTAAATAACATCCACATACAGTGTGTGTGTGTGTGTGTAGTCATTCTTGAGAAGTGGGACAAAACGGTGCAAAATTGAAAAAATAAGAGAAAATTAAATTGAAGGTGATAATTGTGTTAAATACATTCTATTATTAATCCCTCATGACATTTAAAATTGAAAATATTTGTATTTTTTAAAGCTAAAAGCAGTTACCCTTGCTGGACCTGTTTTGTCCCACGTCTCAAGAATGACATGCTTCCAGAGTGAGCATCATTTCCTCACTCCCTACTTCCTCCTTTTGAAGCCCAAAGCACTGCAGCTGGTTTTCTCATTGCTAATAAAACACAAATTAAAGGTTCTTTAGCGTGTCTCATTGCAAAACTGATGTGCTTCAATATCCCTAGCCTCAGTATTGTAAATGAGACTGAGAAATGCTTAAAGGGGTCATATGATGTTGCTAAAAAGAACATTATTTTGTGTATTTGGTGTAATGAAATGTGTTTATGCAGTTTAAGGTTCAAAAAACACATTATTTTCCACATACTGTACATTATTGTTTCTCCTCTATGCCCCGCCTTTCTGAAACGCATCGATTTTTACAAAGCACATCGGTCTGAAAAGCGAGGTGTGCTGTGATTGGCCAGCTATCAGTGCGTAGTGATTGGCCGAATACCTCAAGCTTGTGCCGGAAATGTTAAAAGTTATGCACCAAGAGCTTGTAACACTCCAAAGAGAAAGGAAAAATTGAAATTGCATCATATGAGCCCTTTAATTTCGATAAAGAAGTAATGATGCAGAACATTTTTCTTAGATCCAGATGTCTGGAAGAAGGGGTGGGACAGTTGAGCTCGAAGGCCAGTAGGGCTAAAGAAAGTGTCCTCCCACACAATGCACCACTACAATTGAAGCCAGTGGCTTGCAAAGTGGTCTGGTCTCAAATCAGTGTAGATGCAAACAATACAATGCATCAGCACAGCTTATATTTAACAAAAAAAAAAAGTAAACTGTAGGTCAGGCTGGCAGTCTTCAACCTTTTCTACATTCCCTTGATAGAGAACACTTAATATTAAGCATATATTTTTCCTCAAACAATTTGGGCACACATCTAATAAACACATATAGCGTATAAAGTGACCCAGGTGGGACTTGAACCCACAATCCCCAGCTCCGGAGGTTGATGCCTTCTCCATTAGGCCACTGGGCCTTCAGCATAACATAGTACAGAATTAAAAATGGCCACGATTCTCCAGATATTATAAAAATGACAGATTGCAAAGTGTGGAGACATTTCATCTTTATATTTGTTTACAAACATCATTCAGAATTTCATAAAACTCGCATTCAATCTCACATATAAATCTTTAGTTATTAGAATATTCCATGTGAAGTAGTTATATTAATAATGTTCTGCATATTTACACTAATGAAGTAAAATTGTTGGGGAAGGGAGCAAACGCTGGGGATAACAGAGATGTGGTATGACAGACAAGTTCTCAGCTGCAATCAGTGGTCATTTATTTTTAGAAAATGTTCAGCAATTTCCATTTTTACTGTATGAGACCCATGGATAGGGCGCAGTGTTCTCCTTCTGAATAGATCACTGTTGCTGTGGCTGTCCTATGGGTATTGCGATCAGTAAAAGGAATCTGACTAGACTAAAGTGGCTAGGCATATCAGCAATATGTCAAGATCAACCACATGTATAATACTGGAATAAAAAATGAAAACAACCAATTAAATAATAGTAACAAAATATAAAATTAAACAACTTTTCCCAAAAAAGACATTTATTTTATTTTACTGTCCTAAAAAAAGTGTCCTTGAAATTCCGGCCAGACTCTGTGCAACCCAACACAAGTAATTTGCTTCTTCTAAACAGTGTGCTTTTTGTTCCAATATCATGTTTATATTTTTAAATTATTAAGCTGGAATTGGAACAAACACCACTTAAAGACTGAAACCATGTTCAAAGACGATTAAGCAATACTGGAGCCTATCATGGAAAAAAATAAACACATACTGTTTACAGAAAATGCCAGACAAACCTGTACAATGATTATAAGTGTTAATATTTAAATTATTTATTAATAAAATTCTTAAATTATTTATTTTAATAATTTAAAATACTGTTTATATATTTTAGGTAGGAGAATCCATCTGTAAATGACGTTTAAAAATAAACAGACAACCATAGACATGAATGATGGAGTAAAAACACATTTACATATATAAAACATGTTCAACATGATAAGCTGTTTATAAAACAAGTCCTTTCAGAGATCTGAATTTAAAGAATTTAAAACTGCCATGTTGACAGGGTAAATTGGAGCTGGTCTCTTTCACAGATTGAGCATGAACTGGTAACAATATTTCAGAGCAAAACCTTCTTTTTCTCACCAGAGTCTTTCTGTGACTCAGAACAGCATGATTGGTCAGTCAGGATTCTGTTGCTCCACCTACTGATGACCTGATTGGCTCTTTTTCTGTTATTCAAAAAGATGTAACACAAGTCATCTCATCAGCCAGTTCCTCTTCCTCGTGGCTCCTTATCGGCTCCTCATCACTGTATATGGCTGAGAAGCCTTGGCTCTCCCCAGGGCCCCCACGACTCAAGAGATCACTTGCAGCACTTTCCATCTCATCTATGGTCATGTGACAGGCATCTGCAATCTCGCGCTTGGCAAAGGCTACAAATTTTGGGTCCTTGGCATACAACCCCAAACCCTCAGAGATCAAGACCTGAGGAAGACAAAAAGAGAAAGATCCGGAGTGACTGATGGCACTATCCATGTCAAACTCAGATGACATATATGTTACCGTTCAAACGTTTGTGGTCTGTAAGATTTTTTTTAAAAGAACTTAATATATTTACTAAGCAAAAATGAATTAAATTGATCAAAAGTGACAGTAAAGACATTTATAATGTTACAAAAGATTTCTATTTCTAAAAATGCTGTTTTTTTTTATATTAATTCTATCAATCCTAAAATGTATCACTAACTGTTTTCATTATAGATAATAAGAAATGTTTCTTGAGCATCATATCAGCATATTAGAATGATTTCTGAAGGATCATTTGACACTGAAGACTGGAATAATGACTGCTGAAAATTCAGGTTTGCCATCACAGGAATAAATTACATTTCATAATACATGAATATTATTGTATTAGATTTTATATTTTAAAATGATTTTATTAAATATAGTACATTCTATTATTTTACTAGATAATTTTATTTAATATAAAGTCCATAGATAATATATATATATATACACATATATTTATAAGAATATACGAATATCATATTTATATTTATTTATCTAAATATGTTTAAATCAAATTATTATATTATTACATTACATTATATTATATTATACATCTAACACAGCAGCATTACTAATTTTATGAGGAGCTCCTGTGTTTGCTTAGATGTTGTTGTTAAGCTACTGTTTCTGTAATGTTCCCTTGACGTTGCTTTAATGTTGTTTTAGTTGTAACATGTCATAATGTTACTGTAATATTGATGTAGTCAAAATGTAACTTGTCTGTAATATTATTTTGATATTTTTGTAATGTTGCTCTTATGCTCTTGTGTTTCTCTGCTCATACCGCTTCCACCAGACTGTCAGCGCTGCCTCTCTTCTCGCTGTATTGAGGACTGAGTTGGGTGGGGACTCTGAGGGTAGTGTAGGCTCTATACGGCTGCCCTCCTCCACCCGTAGAGGGTCCTGAGTACCATCCCGAACTGGGATGCCGAACCGACGCAGGCACTCCGACGGCACTGGCCTTTTTGTCCCAGATGCCCACAGATGCCCCTACTGCTCCCTCCTCCTCCTCTACCAGGATGAGGGGAGCGTAGAGGAGACGACCCCGTCGAGGGCCGGTGTTTGCCCAGGATGCTGTTGAACCCGTGGACGATCTAGCGCTGCTTTGACGAGAATCGTAGCTGCCGTATCCCTAAAAGGGAGAGAAAGAAACAGAGGAAGACTAAGTCACATAGATTTTGTTCAAACTCACTTTCATAATGCTGTGACTCGTTAATATTCAAGGGAGTCACTTCAGTTATAAAAAGCAGTTGACAATCAGGAACTGTAAACTGTGTGAAGAT